TTAATTGGATCTGTTATGTGACTCATATGCATATTGTGGACTGAGTATGGATCGGGCTGCACGCCGCAGCGAATGATATGATTATATTGCGCTTGGGCTGAAGGAGCCCCTCCGGAGTCTGTACACACCCCCAGTGAGCGCCGTCGACGTTAAATGGATCGGGCTGTACGCCACAGCGTGTTCATGTGCATTGCATTGCATCTTTACATTTTTACTTGACTGTTATATTTGAAGTTGTTTGCTGTAGGTTCGTAGTAAGGTGTAGGACTGTTAGTGTTAGCTTTGCTTTGTGGTATTTCGTGGATTTCTTATCTTCAGACATTTTATATGCTTATTACTCACTGAGTCGGTAGTACTCACCCCTACTCCCTGCACCTTGTGTGCAGATTCAGGTGCACCGGAGGCTTAGCTGAGCAGTTTTTATTTTCCAGAGCTTATCAGAGTTGTTGAGGTAGCTGCTTGACGTTCGTAGGACCTGACTACTCTTCCTATTCCAGTTTTTATTCATATATACATTTCCAGACTTGAGTATTTTCGTTCAGTTATTATTATTCAGTTTGTTTTAGAGGCTCTAGACTCGTGACCCCAGATCTTTTGGGAGTGTTTTTATCAGACTTCGTATTTCTTAGTATTACTCTCGATAAATATTGGATTATTATTCTAAAACTATCTTGTTCTCGTTAAATTGTCGGTTTTGAGGTTTACGGTTGATTTGGGAACGACAGTGGTCAGGCTTGCCTAGCAATTGTGTTGGGCGCCATCACGACCGGGTTTGGGGTCGTGACAAAATTGGCTCTATTCGTGAGGTAAAGTATCCTAACTGATTAGCCAGCAGTGTTGTAGTTCCAAAAAAGAACGGTAAGTGGCGGGTTTGTGTAGAGTACACAGATCTTAATAAAGCCTGCCCTAAAGATTCTTTTCCACTGCCACACATAGATCAATTGATTGATGCAACTATAGGTCATGAACTATTAAGTTTTTTAGATGCATATTCAGGGTATAATCAGATTAAAATGGATCCAGGAGATGAAGAAAAAACTTCCTTCATAACAGACAGGTGGACTTACTGTTATAAAGTAATGCCCTTTGGTCTAAAGAATGCAGGAGCAACGTATTAGAGGTTAGTTACAAAGATGTTTCAAGAGCATTTGGGAAAAACTATGGAGGTATATATAGATGATATGCTTGTTAAAACTCAGCATTCAGGAGACCATATATAGCATCTATCTGAAACCTTTAAAATTTTGCGAAAATATAACATGAAGTTATATCCTGAAAAATGTACATTTGGTGTGACATCAGGTAAATTTTTAGGTTTTCTTGTTTCTAACCGTGGTATTGAGGTGAATCCTGCACAGATTAAGGCCATTGAGGAAATCCCTGAAATACTTACGAGCAAAAAAGAAGTTCAAAGATTAACAGGGAGGATTGCAGCCTTGGGAAGATTCATTTCTAAATCATCAAAGAAATGTTTTCAATTCTTCTCAGCTCTTAAGAAGCAGGATCGTTTTGAATGGAACGAAGAGTGTCAGCAAGCGCTCAAGAATTTGAAAGTGTACTTATCAAATCCACCGTTACTAGCAATACCAAAGGCTGGGGAAAGATTGCTCATTTACCTTGTTGTTTCAAAAGTAGCGGTAAGTGCGGTTTTGGTTCGAGAAGAACAAGGTAAACAATCCCCTATCTATTATGTCAGTAAATCTTTGTTAGATGCAGAAATGCAGTATCCTCAATTGGAAAAGCTTGCACTCGCATTAATCATGGCATCTAGAAAATTAAGACCTTACTTTCAGTGTCATCCTATTGCTGTAGTAACCGCCTATCCTTTACGTAATATATTGCATAAGCATGAATTATCAGGTAGGTTGGCTAAGTGGGCAATAGAGTTAAGTGAATACGAAATCACGTACCAACCTAGAACTGCTATAAATCACAAGTGTTAGCTGATTTCGTGGCTGATTTTAGCCACGGCATGCAATTAGAAGCACAAAAAGAATTACAGGTGCTCAATGGAGCTAATCCAGGAACTTGGACTTTATTCGCTGATGGTTCATCCAATGTAAAGGGAGCCGGTTTAGGGATTGTTTTGGTACCACCTACGGGTGAAACCATTCGACAGGCTATCAAATGTCATTCAATAACTAAAAATGAGGCAGAGTATGAGGCTGTGATTGCAGGTTTAGAACTGGCACGGGAACTTGGCATAAATCAGATTATAATCAAGAGCGATTCACTACTCGTGGTTAATCAAATGCTGGGGACTTATACAGCCAGAGAAGTAAGGATGCAGCAATATTTAGAAAAGGTGCGGGAGTTAATAAAGCAATTTCAAACCTGGAAAGTTACACAAATACCAAGGGATGAAAATCTTGAAGCAGATGCTTTAGCTAATCTCGCATCTGCGGCTGACGTGGCAAGCGATACAAATACCTCAGTTATTCATTTATTTCATTCAGTTCTCGACCCTGGCAAGAATGAGATAAATTTTAATAATTTAACTTGGGATTGGAGGAACGAGATTGTAGCTTTTTTGTAGTATGGAGCCGTTCCTGATGATAAGAAAAAAGCCCATGCACTTCGCAAAAAGGCTGCTCGCTACTGTTTAAATCAAGGCAACCTATATCGTAAAATGTTCGGTGGCCCCTTAGATAGATGCCTCGGTCATTCCCAAACAGAGTACGTAATGAGGGAAATATATGAGGGGCATTGTGGAAATCACGCTGGAGGAAGATCATTGGTAAGAACCTTAATCAGGGTAGGTTACTATTGGCCAAAAATGGAAGAAGAAGCGGAAAGTTTCGTGGCCAAATGTGATAAACATCAAAGGTACGGTAACAACATGCATAGACCCGCGAAATTATTACATCCGGTTATCGCACCATGGCCATTCATGAAGTGGGGAATGGACATCGTGGGTTCATTACCACAAGCAAAAGGACAGGTAAAATTTTGCTCGTACTTACTGATTATTTTACTAAATGGGTAGAGGCAAGAGCCTTCAAACAGGTACGAGAAAAGGAAGTCAAAGATTTTATTTGAAGAAACATCATATGCCGATTTGGCGTACCAAAGGAGATCGTATGTGACAATGGTCCTCAATTTATTGGAGCTCAAGTCACAGAATTTTTTCAAAGTTGGCAAATTAAAAGGATTACGTCCACACCTTATCATCCCGTGGGTAATGGGCAAGCAGAATCTACAAACAAGGTTATTTTCAATAATTTAAAGAAGCGTTTGGAAGAATCAAAAGGAAATTGGCCAGAGGTGCTACCTGGTGTTTTATGGGCATATCGTACAACAGCAAAAACGAGCACAGGAGAAACACCCTTTTCATTAGTTTATGGAGCTGAGGCTTTGATTCCAGTTGAGATAGGAGAACCAAGTACACGATTCATGCAAGCGACACAAGAATCTAATGATGAAGAGATGCGGGTCAATTTGGATCTACTGGAAGGCAGGAGAGAAGCTGCATTAATAAGAATGGCAGCACAAAAACAAGTCATAGAACGATATATTACAACAGGAAAGCACGCCTCAGATTCTTTAAAGTTGGGTACTTCGTACTTAAAAAAGGTTTTCCAGTCTACAAAGGCAGCCAACACGGGTAAATTGAGTCCAACTTGGGAAGGGCCCTATAGAGTTCGTGATATTGCAGGCAAGAGAGCATATGAATTGGAGACAATGGATGGCAAAGTACTACCTTCACATTGGAATGCTGTTTATTTGAAGAGATATTACTTCTAAGGAATACCCATGGTCAGGTTTCACCTTTTTACATTTAATATTTTGAATTGTTAAAATTTTACTAACGATTTTAGATGATAGGCAAAAAGCTAGCCCGTACTAAATGATGAGTCACGGCCTGTAAGGCACACGGAATAACCTAAAATTCCTGGCCTAGGGTTACAATTATTCTGATAGAAATTTAAACGGGTTAAGCAGTCTTCATCTATAATCGTATCTCCGAGTCCCGTATGTATTTCCTTTTCAGGAAAAGGACCAAATGAGAGAAACTATCAAGTGCTCGAGGCTTCATACTTCAACACTCAAACACTTGGGGGACTACATAATATACACAAGTATTTATAAAGAAGGCAAAGAAGATTGAAGAAAAATCAAGCCTGAAAAAGTCAAGTGCAGAGTAATAAAAGTCACATGAAGTCATGAGCCAAGGCTAAAGAAAACCTTACTGTAGTTAGGGTAAAAGCTATGTACTGAAGCAGGTTGTAAAGAAAAACCTTGCATTTATTGTTCTAAAACGGATTATAAAGAAAAACCTCGTGTTTATTATTTTTTCTTAAAAATCTGTTATAAGGGAAAACAGTTACGAGAAAGTTATAGATGTAATTCAAATACATGTAAGGTGTTATTCAAAACTTGTCAAGGCTCAAAATAAAAACTTGTCAATGTTATTCCAAAGAAACATGTGTGTTCCTATTTCTTTTATCGTATGCTAACACCATTATGAAGTTGAGACGTCTTCTTCATTAAGTGTTGAAATATAAAAGGGCCCTCTTTTATAAAACTCATGTTTAAATCATGAGATTAACAGAAGCATTTTTCAAATAACAAAAAATGCAAAATTATTCTATAAGTCCTTAAGAATAAAGGCAAGAATAAAAGCAAACAGAAGTTAAAACAATAACATAAAAAACTTCTTGAATACTTAAGACTAAGTAAGAACTTAGTCACAAAACTATGAAATTGTTTATACAAATCGCCCCATGAAAGACTTGGGGACTTGCGTTCCAAAATCAACCCTCAAATGATAACCAAGGGTTTGATTACAAATGTCTAAAATAATCTTTCAAAAGAATCCAAGAGCCTTAAACATAGTTTTCCAAAAAGGTACCTGCAGAAAGGGAATTCAAAGCAATGTAAATTTTTTCACTAAGAAGAGAGAACTGAAGAAGGATCATCAACGGGCTCAACTTGGGCAGGATCAGGAGCACCAACAGACGAGGTCTCAGCTTGGCTTGCAACAAGAGGCACAATTGGGCTTAAAAAGGAGAGACACCCGTGGTAATTTCAGCGTTCTCAAGAACTTCAACAGCGGGAGTTTCAGCCACGGAAGTTTCAATCACGGGAGCTTCAACTTCGGGAGATAAAAAATCTTGTGTTTGTTGAGCTCGTTCAATGGTTTCATTCACCTTGGCTAATTCTGATTCCAGGTTGAAGCTTTCTTGGCCCATTTCCAGTAAGGTGTCACGACGTGAATTTAAGAATGCCCAACTTACCTCAACATCAGTTTTCTCTTCAAGGATTTCATAATCCCTCTCCCAAGCAGCGACTTCATTCTTGAGCTCTTCATTCTCAGCCAAGACAGAACTATAAGAAGATTGAAGGGTGGCATGAGAACTCTCCAAAGCATGCACCTTATCAACAGAGGCTCGAAGATCCTCCTGTGCCTTGGTAAAATTCTGAACTAGCTCCCTGGCATAAATTTCTTTCTGATTCAAAAGATCCTTCAACGCCCGGATCTCTTCACTGGCCTTCGATAACTGTTCAGAAAATGAAGACTCAAGGCGCTCCCTTTCCTTCTCTGCCTGACTCGATGAAGCCTTGATGACCGCCAGCTCCGAAGTTAATGCTCGTACTTGCTGTTCTAAGGTACTTCTTCTCTCTTGTAAATCCTCCATGTCGATTTGAGCGCTGTCAAACTGTTCCTTCCAGTTGTTTGCTTCCAACTAGGAATCACGTGCCACCTTCTCCAAGAGGGAGATTTTGCTCATCAGCTCAGTGCCAATAAGATTGGCCTACGTAAAAAAAAGAAAAGAAGCAAGAATCCCAAAGTCGAAAATTTTTACAGAATGTAGAAAAGTAGGAAAGGAAAATACCTTTAAAGTGGCATGCACTATGTCATTCATGAGAGTCAGGTTGCTATGGCTCTCAAGCTTTGCTTTTTCGATGGGGCCAATCAAAGGCTCGAGCCAAATATCAGCTTGACCGGGCTTTCTCAAAAGGCTGTTGTTAGTAGGAACCTCAATGGTTACGCTCCTCATAGCAGTACTCCTACTTGAAGAGCCCACCTCCGTATGGTGAACAATAGGTGGAGGAATTGCCAAAGGAGGAACGGTGGAAGAAGGAATAGAAGCAACAGGTTAATGAAGGTAAAGAAGCAATCACAGGTACGGGAGATGAAAAGGAAGATAAGGGAAGCTCGTCTAGAACAGGTCCTAAGTTTCCACTACCAAAACCACTAACAAAAAGTTGATCGATAGACTCACGGGTGTCGTGAGGAGAGACGTCATCATCATCAGGAATGATAACTTGAGTAACAACAGGCTCGAAAAGAGACAGATGAGGGGAGACTTCAGCCTCGTCATCAGAGACGATACGTCTCCTGGCTCATGGTCTCGTCACCAGGGAGCCCTCATCTTCTTCCTCTGAATCTTTTTCCTCAGTAGCTTTTCTTTTTGAAGAACCCAAGAATAAATCTTGGGCTGAAGAGGTACGAGTACTCAAAGAATCACGAGAAGCTATGATTGCCTCTGCGGTGACTCCCCGAATAGCAAATCCTGATAAAAAGAAGGATAAAAGTTAGAACAAAGAAAATATTTATATACAGACAAGGTAAAATAGAAACTCTTACCATGAGTTTTTACTTTCCAACCGTAATGGTTGGAAAGGTTTTTCCACGACCTACCCTCCATTGGAGCGGTCTTCAACAATTTTCCTACCCAATCACGGAAGTTGGGCACAGTCTCCACAACACCCATGGTTGCTGAGAAAAGAAAAAAAAAGCGACATTAGAAAAGTTGATAAAGCTTGAAAGGAAAAGGCACGAGGAAGATTTAACACTTACGTGCAAAGTTCCACTTCTCAGGGAAGGAAAAGTTATTTTCACCCACTAAACCAGCAGTGGGGGTAGCAACAAACCGAGCATACCAGCCACGGTCTTTGCTCACTAAAACCCTCTTGCTCCTGGCTGCTAGGGCAAACACGCCGTTGCGAAAAAGCCTAGGGGAATAGAGGTGAATTAGGTGGGGAAAAGTAAATTCAACATCCTCCAGGTTAGTGAGGTGCCTCAAGCAGGCGACAGCCCTCCAAACAATCGGACCAATTTGACCCAAACACACGTTAAAAAAATGGCAAAAGTCTAGAATGACCGGATCAATGGCCGGTTTAAACCCTAGAGTGAAAGGGTATGTGCAAACAAAAGAGAATTCAATCATGTACGAAGTGATCCTCTGATTTGAATTAGGAATGATAATGGGGAAATCATCACTCCAATAACAATCCTTACGAACTATAGGAGTTAAAATATCTGTGATTTGAGTGGGGAAGTCAGCACGATCTAAAGAGGCAACTTGGGTCCTGAGAGATTCTCTATCATGGTGAAAAGAAATCTCTGTTGGGACTATTTCTTCAACTAGAGGCTCACGAAGGGGCTCAGAGGATTCTTTATTCCTAGAAGAAGACCTCTGAGAAAGGGAACCTCTAGTCCTAGAAGAAGGACCCGAGCTAGAAGAAGGAATAAATGTGCTACCACCACAAGCAGACCCCAAGCTACGGAGTCTACCCCCTCTTCTGTGCCTAACAGGAGCATTGGGGAAGTTATCTAAAATGGGGGTTCTCCTAGGGTTAGGGTTTGGTGAAGCCATGACAAAGAAGATTGAAGTAGAGCAGAAGAGAATAAGAGGTTTTTGAAGAATTAAAGTGTTTGACACGCTTTATGTGGTAAAAGACAAGTAAAGAAGCTATATTTATACTAATGGGTAACCGGCAAAAGGAAAAAGTACAATGATGGAAGAGCTATAATAATGTTAACTGACACTTCGTGAATAGGGAAGCCGAAAAGAAAGCCTAAGAAAGTGCTGCAAAACTAAAGAACCAATAAGAGGATGACACGTGTCCAATGCATTAAATGGAAGTGACAATTGAAGCGTCAATTCTGTCAGAGCAATAATGGTGACAAAAATTCTCTTTTAAATGAATTTCACTTCCCAAATATTCAAACTGATGAATAAATGTAAAGTGGGGGGACTATCTGTATTGGGAAAAATTGTATTTTACATATAAGGTGACGTGTCAGGACACGTGGATTGGTCAAATGGTCAATAAATCATAATTAGGCACGATTCAAGAGTTGTAAAACAGACACGAGCAAAGAATGAGGAAGAGGAACGGGACATCAGATAAGTAGCACGGCGCCCGTACCTATTTAAATCATTTATATCCGGGCATCAGAAGGAATGAATCTGGTTATAAAAAGCGTGCAGATACAGCATTTAATCGGTATTAAATGCTGAGTCCGTTAAGGAATATATATATATTCAATATAATGATTGTGTAACGTAGCATTCAATGTCTTTAATTATTCATAATGGCCTCATTATGATTTGAGCATAACGTACAATCTCAAAGGTACTTATAAAAAGGAGATATATGATCAGTTGTAGGGGAGAAAAAAAAAACTATTGAAATATACATTGGTATCACTTGTTTTTCTTGATTATTATATTGCTACTCAGAATTATTTACTTTTATTCATTTCTTTGATTATCAGTAACCCGAGTTCTTCTAAATTCTAGCTTTGACTAAAATTTCATTTTTTGGTTAAACATTTATATTTGAGCCCTTATACAAAAAAAAGACTTTGTAGACAGTAGATATATCTTATGATCTTACCAATGTCATATTCAATATCTTTTCTATATTACGAATCTTGAAAATTTATTTAGCTATGCAGATAAAGGAAAATCCGAAATCTTATTTCCATTTAAAGAACGATAATGCTACTTGATCTTATAAATATGATCCAATATTCTTGCATTGCCCTTCCAAAACAAACAACACTATTTTCATCATTTCAGAGTTATCATCAATACAATATAATGTCCATCTCTGCATTAGAACAGCAACTCATGATGCAAAGTTATCCATTCATGGTACACGTAAAAAAAACTTATTTTCTGTTCTTTTTTTCTTCTCCTCATTTTTACGTTCATTTACTTTTATCTTGTTTACTTCTTTTTTACTATGTTAAACCATTAACACAGGGGCGGATGCATGTTTGATGAAGCAGTGTCACGCGACATCGCTTCATCGGAAAACTTTACTAAATATATATATTATACTATAAGAAAACGGATAAGTAAGAAAAAATGATATTATTTGATATAAATTGTCTCTTGGTGCCTTGGTTATGTGCTTGATTTTGCTCTAGGAAGTCAGAGGGTTGAACCTCAACTAGCACATTTTTTTGCAAATATTTGAGACAAGTCTCTGTGGTTAAAAAATGATTAAATATTAAATAGAATTGAACTCAGGACCTTTTCAAATTTAAGACTCAACAAATTCAATAGACTAAGGTTATTTCTTGTCCAAAAGTATAATAATTAAAGTTATTATTTGTTCTTCTATAAATTTCGACATGGCTTACAAAAATTCGTGTTTACGCCCTACATTAACAGACTTGTGTTTTGTGGGTCAACAATCGCACTTCAGGATGGCAAAAAACCGTGGCGAAAGTCTTAAAAAATGTCTATGGTATTTTCGCACTTTCTTTTTCTATGTAATAGCATACTTTTGTATTATTCATAGCAACATTTCTTTTCATATTTTTTTGAAATGTTGTTAGGTATCAGAAATTGTAGAATGAATGGAGATGGGATGATTGAAGTGTCAGGAAATGTGGATCCAAAAGTACTTCTAAAAAGGCTAGGAAAAGCAGGGAATAAAGCAGAGTTATGTTGGTTTCAATTTGGAGAATGTTCAAGTAATCTTTATATTAGCCAATCTGATTACTATGGACAATTAGATGGTAGGTTTCTTCATTATAGAGATCAGTTTAATCCTCAATTAAGACGACGTTCCAATAAAAATTACCATGACAATTATGATACTGAATATGAATGCACTGTGGCGGCACAAGCAAGGGAACGACGTCGTCGCACTTCCACGGCGTCAATAGCCGATAAAGGCGTCTCCTCTTGCTGTTTGATGTAAATTGTAATATAGGAGTAGTATAATTTATGTCTCCTCAGTAAAAAGATACTATATTTATTACTGAGCGTAAAGTCATGAATGAACGCATGTATATATTATATGGTTTTTATTTGATGATACTGGATATCTTAGGATTTCATTTCTTAATTATATTTTACTTTTAGTATTAACGCTGACAGATATCTCTATATACCGGTCTTAAGTTATGAAAAATCCTCACTCTACCTGTGTAAATTTAAACCCTCAAGTTTAATCCAAGTAATTTATATTATTATTGTTTTGCTGCATGTAATATCCTAGGGGTTGTTTGATTTGAGTTATAAAAAATTATCATGGTATAAAATTATGTGTTACTTATCCTACATTTGATTGTCATTTTCATTTTCAGCATAAATAATAAATGTTATATATATTAACACTTTTCAGACGATCAATGTACTTTAGCTAACCTATTATAGCATGTTAGTTATCATTTTTATGAGGTTACTCATTAATGCGTATCATAAAGATTTATATTTACCTTACAAAAAACATGATTGTGTAAATCAGTGCATAGAACTTAAACTCATAAATATTACCCGTATGTGAAATGGGATAATTTGCACATGAGTTACTGCACTTGGATAAAGCACTTAAAAGACCAAAATAAGCTAGATGTACATATGGTAGCTCTTCTCCTCAAGCCCTT